GCTACCACCTGCGAGCTCCGACGTGCGGACCTCGAGGGGAGTGAGCTGCCACCAGACTCGTCTCCGCATCTCAATGTCGAACAAGGGAAGGCCGAGCTTGGAACCGTCCTTGTGGAGCCCGATTCTCTGGCTCATGCGAATTGCAAGGCCAGTCAGCGACCACTGGGTGTGGATATCATGATATGATCTCATGGCAAGTAAGAAGAGGATGAATGCTTGCAGCACGACCAGATCAGATGATCTGAGAAAGCCTGCTCTGTACAGAGCGACCTTGGTAGCGTACCGGAACTTGGTGAGCAGCTGTTGCTTGCTTTCTCCCAAGGCTTGACACTCTTCGCTGGGCATGGAGACGACGGCCATGAGGTAGATGGAAAACATGAGGAGCTCCGTCTCGGCGTCGATGGCCTCTAGGTTGCTAACGGCTTTGAGGACCTGCCTTTGGACCGTAGGCGTGTGTAGCAGCTTGACCAGTGGGTTAACATTGTCGAGGTAGGCTTGCCAGAGAGTGAAGATGTGGTGCAGTTGGGGGTGCAAGCTGCGGAGGTCGAGTTTGTAGCCTTGCATGAGGCCCAGGACAAGCTGACCTTCGTCCAGGTGGTAGGGATCGTATTGGTTGACAGTCGAGGGCATGGCGCTTGAAGGAGTTGGGGCGTCATGGAGCAGCTGCTTTGGATCCCTGATTTCGTCGTGGATGCCTTTCCAGAGGTTGCTTTCGAGGTATCTGGAGCTCCCCTTTTCAAAGACTAGACGGCCATTGTCGGGAGTTTTGGTGGTAGCAGGGGACTCTCCGGTACCAGGCGGCCCAACGGGATCCCTCGGTCTCGGCTGGTCCCGAGCATTGAGCGGAGTGAAGCTAGGAGCCCAAGGTTGAGTCGGGGCCGGAGCAGCAGGTGTCTTGGCCAAAGAAGACTTGGAGTCGACACGCGCTCCGAATTGGGTGAGTAGATGCTCATAGTGGTCGATTTTGGCGTGGAGGTCCTCGTCCGACAGCTTGCGCTTGCGACGGGGCGCCGGGTCCCGAAACTCGCAGACGGCGCGGTACCTCTTACAGGACGAGCAGGGCTCGGTGCGATCGCACTTTACCTTGCGCTTCTGGCAACTGATGCAGGCGTTGGGCTTGAGATTGGCTGGACTGCCGACGGGAGCGTGATCGGGACCTGGAGCATTGGTTGCAGCGGGCTTGAGGTCCTGGCCGTGGGAGGGATTGACGGGACCGGCAGAGGTGAGCGGGTGCTGAAACATGGTGAGGTGCGGTTGATTGCGCGGCGGGTCTGCGGCGACGGGTGGGCCGGTGTTGCTCATCAAGCAGAATTGCAGAGAAGTGTGATGAGAAGCGACCTGAGCTGGAGCACGGAGACGGGCGGGAGGCAGGCGATGGTGTTGCCGGCGTGGACGCGACCTGACGGACGCTGGCGGGGAAGTCCGACAATCCATCCGACCCGAGAGCGCGCCTCCGAGATGCTCCTTCCTGGGAGCCTGGGGGCCTGGCAGCCTGAGAGCCTTGGCGCCTCAGGCTTTTGTTCCTCACCTCAACTACAACTTTTTCTTCATCTTGTCATCCCATCCCCCTTTTGCATCGCCGCTTCCATCTCGGAAAATCATCCGTCTACTCTCAAAAATGGCAACGTCATCTTCCCATCTACCGCTATGCCGGAAACCCACCAGCCAAATCATCTCCGCCTCGTCGACGCCTCCGCAAGCCTCAGCGCCCACAAAACCTCCCTTCCTTTAATTGGCAAACCACCTCTTCTCTCCATGATGCAAACTACTACCAGTGCCAGATTCGCGATGCACACAGGCGCACGCTACTCGGCGTCTACTCCGTGCCCCAGTTATAAGACTGCATGCACGGCGTCAGCCTCGTTACACCACTGCCTAGCACCCTTTTCTTTCCCTCAAGTCTGACTGCTTTCTTCGCTTTCCTTTCCTTCTGGCCGACGACTCCATTTCCATCCATTCTCTGACCTTTCCGCTCCGTTTTGCATGTCCAACTGCCCGCAATGATCGACAAAAAGCCCGAACATGGTGCAGTTGATGCGCAGGCCCCTTGCGATGATCCGCCGGGCAAGACAGATGTCGAAGCCGGGGACCACCAAGGTTCTCCACAGCCTCTTTATCCCCCAACGCGAGTTGTCGTTCCCATTCTTCTCGGCATTTACGCAGGAATCTTCCTTGTGGCTTTGGATCGAACAATTGTTGGTGTGGCAATTCCGCGCATCACTGATGAATTTCATTCTCTCGGGGACGTTGTAAGCTACGACAATCAATATCAAGTCTACAAATGTTGTCTAATGGAACTTAGGGATGGTATGGAAGCGCATACATGGTGAATTTGACTAACGCTTGCTCAAAACTCGTTCAACCCGCTAACGATGTGCAAGCTCACGGCCTGTTCTATTCAACTCGTCATAGGGAAGCTATAGTATGCCTCTCGGCTCCGCAATATCGTCCGCTTGCTAACAAGTCGCCACAGCACCTTCTACAACCCAAAATGGGTCTACTTGATCAACCTGCTTTTGTTCACCATCGGATCAGCCGTCTGCGGCGCCGCACCCAACTCGATCGCATTCATCCTCGGCCGAGCCATCGCGGGACTCGGCTCTGCAGGCATGTTTACCGGCGGTGTCTTACTCGCAATCCCACTGATGCCGCTGCAAAAGCGCGCTCTGATCCAAGGACTCGCCGGGTCAATCTTTGGGATCGCTTCCGTCACGGGGCCCCTCATTGGCGGCGCCTTTGCGTCCAGCTCCGCAACCTGGCGCTGGTGTTTTTACTTGAACCTGTAAGATGTGTGTCGCGTCTTTTGAGATCCATGCTGACGAGTACAAGGCCAATTGGAGCTGTCACGGCCGTGTTGATTCTCTTTGTACTCAAGAATACGCCTCCGCCACGTAATGCTGGCCTCACGCTCAAGGAAAAACTTATCCAGCTTGACCCTCTCGGGCAGTTTCTGTTTATGCCATCGATTATTTGTCTTGTACGTCCTACCAATTTGATCAAATGTGTAAATCTGACCCTTTCTTTAGATACTCGCTCTACAGTGGGGCGGCAACGACTACGCCTGGAACGACTGGCGCATCATCTTCCTCTTCTGCGTCTTTGGAGTGCTCATCCTCGCCTTCATTGGGCTCCAATTGCGCAACAAGAATGACACGGCGACCATTGCTCCGCGAATTATCTCCAACCGTACGGTAGCTGGTACTCTTTGGTTCACCTTTTGCAACTCAAGGCATGCCACCCTTTTCTGATGAATTTACCATTCCGGCTAACACTGCAAAAGTTGCATGTTTGTTTTCGTGTACTATCTCCCCATCTGGTTCCAAGCCATCAAGGGCGCATCTGCTGTTCATTCAGGTATCATGAACGTAAGTAAATATGGTCTTTCAAGTACTCCGCTATTCCCCACTAACTTGTCACAAGCTGCCACTAGTATTGAGTCTCGTCGTCGCCAGCATCTTGACCGGCATCACCGTCTCGAAAATGGGGTACTACACACCATTCCTGATCGCCTCGAGCGTCATCGTCTCAATCGGAGCCGGCATGCTCACAACGTTCCGCACCAACACCGGCCACCCAGCCTGGATCGGGTACCAAGTCCTCCTCGGCTTTGGTTTAGGTCTCGGCATGCAGGTACATCATCCCAATCCTCTCACTCACCCCTCGCACACCACTGACTCTGTCACCATCCAGCAAAGCAACATCGCCATCCAAACAGTGCTCAGCCGCATCGACGTGCCGATGGGAACAACACTCCTCTTCTTCTCACAGCAGCTCGGTGGCGCCGTCTTCGTCGCCGTCGGCCAGAGCATCTTCACCAACGACCTCATCCGCGGCGTGTCGGGGCTCACGGACCTGAACCCGCGCTCCATCACCGCCATCGGCGCTACCGAGCTGCAGCAGCGCGTCCCCGCTGACGTCCTGCCGCAGGTCCTGGCCGCGTATAACGATGCCCTCGTCCAGGCGTTCCAGGTCGGCTTGGCCATGGCGTGTCTCTCTATCCTTGGCTCCGCGGCTGTCGAGTGGAGGAGCGTCAAGTCGGCTAACTCGGACTTGAAGGGCCCGGCGCCGGTTGGTGATGCGCCTGCGCCGCTGCCGGGCGTCGTTGACGTGAAGGAGAAGCTGCCGCTCGACGCGCAGACGGGCGGGAATTCTCCGTCCGCGGACGAAAAGGCGGTTGAGAAGGTCGACCCGGATGCGACGAGGGAGGGCAGCAGAGTTGACGGGCATGCCGAAGAGGAGGGTGCGCCGGCGCTTTCGTCCGCGGCGAAAGAGAAGGATTTGGAGGCGCAGGGGGCGTCGAGAGCGGCGTCGGGAGCTGAGGTGGTGGGCGAGAAGAATTGATGAGGGACGCTGCTCGTGCCTCCCTTCTCACTTCCCCCTCTCCGCTTTTTCCGTTCTCACGACTTAATCTTAATTCAGGCATGCATGGGAGATGGGCAAGCAGACAAAACGACTATAGATAGACCTTTTCTTTTCCCATGTAACCAACGGTAGCATACCTTATCCAGCAGCAGTAGCAGTAGCACGGCATGTAAAAACCTTCACAATCAACATCTAACGGAAAATACAACGAACGCTCCGTCTTCGCCCGCAAGTGACAAAGCGAGCCGCGTCCAGGCAGGTCTTGTCTTCATCCGCTCGTTTCTGTGCTTGCATACGCATACACGCTTCCCACGGTCACGGAGAACAGCACGATGCAGGAGACAGTGTGATGGGCTTCGCTCGTTTTGGCTAACCATACAACGTCCTAAACGCTGGATAGACAGACAGCGAGTTAGTGTAGTATCGACATCGACCACATCAACCGCGCGCGGGGATATACTCTGTGTTTAGTGTTCGCCGGCTGAGCAATCCTTGCTGCCGTTGGCGTTGCTGCTGTTGGCCGTTTGTTTACTCCACGAACTACAATTTGCTTTGGGTACACACATTTAACAGACTGTTCAAGACCCCTCGAGCAGCACCCTCATAACCCACGACCGCAAAGGCTCATCTAAAGCATATCTGTCGTGGTGCAGTGGTAGCCCGCCAGACCTCTCATGATGTGTACACTCTTCCTGGCGTGCAGGCGACCGTGGGTTGGCCGCCACCGTCCGGGTCTGGTAAACCGCTGAGAAGGACTGGAGACCCGAGTTCGATTCTCGGCGACGGAATCACTTCTTTTCTTTTGGAGGATCTGAGAGGCTTGATGGTGGTAGTGTTTTTGGTTTGCTGTTTTACATTTGGAGGTGACGGGCACCGCGTAGTTGCATACGTACCTAGGCACAGTGCATGTACGCAACAACCATGGAAGCAGGCAATCAAGACATTCCCAGCCTCTAAACTCTCATCTCTTGTCCACACTCCAATCAACACCAACAACCCACCTCCGCCTCTCCGCTTCCCTCCCGACCTCGACATCCCAACTCGGCGCCGCAATGCTCACCTCATCGCCCGACGCAACGCCCGCACGCCCGCCCCTCGCCGGTCCCACCAACAGCGCCCTCACATCCTCGCCGCCCTCTCCCGTCGCCGTCATTCCGGCAAGCAAGCGCAGCGGATTGGCGCCCACCGTCTCGGTCGAGCGCGAAACAACCATGCGCGAAACCTGCGACGACGAGCGGCTGCCGTCGGGCCCGTGGCCGACGCCCAGCACCCAGCCGCGCACCGTCTCGGCCATGCCGCCCGGCACGAACTTTTGGTTGCGGCGGTGCGGCGAGAAGTGCTCGGGCAGCGGCGTTGCGTCGGCGGAGTCGGCGTTCTTGGCGTTTCGGCAAGGCGGCGGGAGGCGGAAGGGGTTGCGTGGACGAGATGTTGTTGTTGAAAGCGGCGGAAGGGGGTCCGCCGTGGTTCGGTCGAGTGAGTAGGCGCGGTGGGGCGTTGCTTCGCTGTGCTTGAAGCGTGGTGGCCGTGCTGTGCGGGGTGGGCTTGTTGGGTTGGATAGTGATGCGGCTCGCTGGGTCACGGTGGATGGATCATGTCTGGGTTGGATGTCTCCGTGTGACGGTCGTCGTGCGAGTGGGCGGCCCGGATCGACTTCAACGCTTGCTTCTCGCGCTGTGTCGGTATTGAGAGACAATCTTCTGCGCTTGGCCGGGTTCTCGTCGAAGAAATCGGCGTGTCCCTGTGGATGTGGCACATGGATATTGCCGTGCGAGTGAGCGATCGAAGCATGGCGAGGCTCAACGCTCTCCATGACCACTCGCGACTCGGAGTCCCACAACATCTCATCCGCTGGGTCCCCTTGCTCTTCATATTCAACGTCCTGTTGCGACGAGTCCTCAATGCTGTCCGTCCTGTCCAAACTGGGGCCGAACTGTTCTGTTCCGGGGGCGGCTTTTCTGCTGAATTGAGACCCCGTCACGTCGGCACCATGTCTGGATGCAGGAACCGAGAAGCGCGGCGTTGGTTTGAATTGCGAGCTGGACACATTGTGGCGAGCTTCCCGGTCAACCGGAGTATGAGGAGACGGAGGCGGAAATGCCTGGCGCAGAGAGGACGGCGGTTTGTGAGAAGATCTAGAGTCACGCAGCGGCCTGAATCGGTGAGGCGAAGGCGTCTGCACTCACTCAGGTCAGTCACATCTTCTCAACATGGTGATGGGCGAGAGCTTACAACAGGCGGAGGCATGATGGTGGTGCGAAGGCGGAGATTGCGGGACGAGGGCCGAGCAGACGATGACGTCGGGGGTGGTTTAGCCTGAGGGAAGGGGCCTGGAAGCGCGCGACGCGTCTTCCCTTCCGCTCGGCCCACAACCTCTTCATCTCGTCTCGTTCCCTGTCCACAGCACCCGTCCAACCGCTGCAAACCAAAACACCCGACAGCTTAATTCCACACGCTCAACCAATGATCTACAAACACCGACCCAGATCTCCTGATCGCTCTGATAACGGCCCAAGAGTCATCCCCGATGGCCGCGTCGACAAAACGTTGATACCCAATCTCTCGACGAGCCATTTCTACCAATGCATGGCTTACAAGTCTCAGATGGCGGCCGCCGCCAAAAGTACGACCACGATGCTCGGCAGAGCGAGAAAGACAAAGTGCAACCACGCGAGACTCGACGTGACTTGTACCAATGCCCCAGACGTCTGTGTTTGCGAGATTGATGTTGCCAAACTCGAAGCCTGTCCAACGACGACAAGTAATCAGCATGAGAAACGGCTGTGACCTTTGAAGGCAGCAGGATTGTACCAGAGGAGCTGCTGACGCGCTCAGCTCGTCAGCGCCAGACATCTCCGCCGTACTTGTGGCCGTGGCCGCCAACGGCAACTCCCTCCCACCGCCAGTTGCGGCCGACGCGTTACTTTCGACACTGGCATCAGCCACGGTGGTGGTGGCAGCAGCAGCAGCCTGTCAGGACCCGACCCCAGCAGAGGGAGTCTCTCGTCAGCCATGGCGCACATCTCACAACTTTACCCTCCCGCCTCGTCACACCTCCCACACTCGCCGCGAATAGCAGCAGAAGAGCAAGAAATCTTTGTGACTCACCAAGTCCGCACAGCACGCCGCCTGCCCGTTGCTTCCCCCCTCTCCACTTCCCCCTGTCCCTGTCCCTGATTCGGCGCAAGCCCTCGCCCTCCCGCCTGCGCAGCACACCTCGCCCGCTGCGGGCCGGTAGCATGTGTACGTCGGCCACGCACCGCCGCAGTATCTGACGTCTTGTCCACGCCGAGCGCAGCACGCGTCGCCGTCGTCAGACTGGGCGCAGGTCCAACTGGCCGTGGTGGACGCAGCGGCGGTCGATCTCGATGGCATCACCTTCTTCGTTGCCGCGGTCGTCGAAGTCGTCGTCGTCCCCGGCCCATCGAACGACCCTACTACGCCGAGACCCTAGATACCCAGCAGCAGCTGTCAGCACCGGTCTCGCCTCCCTCTGTACCGACAGCAGAGAGGGAGAGATTTTGTGTTCATGAGGGGAGACAAAAAAACAGAAACCTACCACATCCCCACAGCAGTCGTCGCCGCCCGAGCAGGCCGACCCGTCGGCGCAGCACGACTGGCTCTGGCTCGGGTCGAAGCAGCCGGTGCGGCCACAGTAGAGGGCGCCGGGCCCCAGGCACGCCGCGCAGTCGACGCTCGTGCTTTCGCCGGTCAGCGCGCAGAAGACTTGTCGGGGCGACAGGGCGAGGTGGGTCGCTTGGCTTGGTGGGAGTGCGGCGAGGGTGAGGAGATTGAGGATGAGCATTAGGGAGATTGATATTGAGAATGGCGAGTTTCTCATTGCGGCGATCTTTGGCTGAGCATACCAAGGATGTTGAATATGAGTGGAAAGGGGATGCGGCTCGTCATGGCACTTTATATCATCTCGTCGACTGAGTCGCTATTGAGTGCTCTTTTCGTGATGCCGCTGTTGCTGGCCGAGACAGTCTCAAACCTCATAAAGTGTTGGTCCGCACAGCGTTGTCCACATCAAAGTGATGCTGTAAAAAACGATGGATTGGTATCTGGGGTATATCAAGCACAAGCACGAAACCAAAAAAAAAAAAAAAAAAAAAAAAAACCAAGACCTTGCATCTAGCACAATACTCGCGCCGCTCTACCTCCTCGCAGTCTTCATGCGCGCCTTCTCCGCCTGCATAGCCCTCTCCATGCGCGCAGCCGCCCGCTCCGAAATCCTGTCGTCGTCGTCCGCGTCGGGCGTTGTCGCGGCCTCCTTCTCCTCGAGCCACACCTCGCACCACCAGCAGCGGCAGACGTCGTAGTCGTCGCCAAAGGCCTGCTTGTACAGGGCCTGGGTGTCGCGCCAGGCGTCGTCGTGGTTGATGAAGCGGCCAGCGAAGGCGCGCGAGGCGGCGGCGTAGCGCGCGGGCGAGCACAGCGCCGTGTGCCAGGCGACGTCGACGAGCAGGGTCGGGACGAGCGTGGCAGCCGGGTGGAGGGCAAAGAGCAGCAGGAAGCGGTGATAGCACAGGACGGCGTGGTGCAGGGTGCGCGCGGCGGCGGGCGAGCGCAGCCAGTTCTGCGTCGCCATCTTCTCCCAGAACGTCTCCTGGCGGTGGATGGCCGGCAGCAGGAAGGCGAGGGCGTGGTGGTGCGCCTCGTATGCTTGCGGCAGCGGCGTGTATTCGTATGGCTGCACGCCGAGGCTGGACAGGCTGAAGGGCTGCTGCTGCTGCTGCTGCTGCTGCTGCTGCTGCTGCTGCTGCTGGCGATTCGCGTCGGGCAGGTGCGATTGCGCCAGCTTCTCGAGAAAGGTGCGCGTCAGCGTGTCGTGGATTCTGTCTCGCTGCAGCGACGACAGCAGGTCGGCCTCGAGCCCCGTCTTTTGCTGGAACACGTCCTGCGCTTCCGCCGTGAGCTGGTACGTGTTGGTGGAGGCGTCTATGGCTCGGTGGACGGCTTTCCAAGGAAACTCCATTTGCAGTAGGGATTCGTGCCCGTCGCGGCAGAGGGCCTGGTATTTTTGCGGCGTGAGCAGGTACGTGTGCCAGACCATCAGGACATCCAGCGGCGGGAGCGTCTTTTTCGTGATTTGGGGAACTGCTCCGTCGGGGGCATCTAGGATTTTGAGGATGGCGTCCCACCAGTTGCCGAATCTCAAGACGGCCAGCGTGAGATAGGTATTCCAGGCAGCTTGGGCCCTGGCACTCCGCTTGCGTTTGGTGACTACTCCAAAGCTGTAGGGCTGCCTGAGGTTGAGCGCATGGGCAACAATGTGGGACTTGTTGCATCTCGATTTGGTGGTGTGGAGGACCTCGAGCAACTCCAGGTGCACAGCACACTCGGCGGCTCTGGGAAGGGGCTCCTCGGCCGTGGGTACGTCCAGTAGAGAGGTCTGAGATGCTCGTCCAAGGGGCTTGAACAGAGAGTGAGCCGGGTCGCGTGGGGGAGAAGATGTCACGTGAGGAGGAGGTGACTTGAACATTCTGAACGGTCTCTTGAGATGACTGCGGCAAGGTCAAAAGCTGCGCAGACTCGACAACGACGGAGACTCACTGGAGGTTTTTGGGGCGTGGCTCCTGTGGCATGTCATGTGGGAAGGGCAAGGCATGGAGTTGGCGCGCGCGTAGCCGGGCATGGGATGAGGTGGATGAAGGTACAGAAGAGAAATATTTGAAGGGAAGCGAGACAGGGCTGCGATGGTGAGCTTATTCAGGAAAGAGTTACGGCGGTGGCTGAGGGTTCGATGACAAGGCTGACAGCGGTTCTGCCTCTTGCGGCTTCGAGTGCC